CGGTGGTCCGAAACGAGAACAACCTACCCCTTCAACGGTTGGGAAGCCAAGAGCCCTTAGCTCCACTCGTTAGGCCGCTAAGTCGGCTCAGGAGGGTAGGGAGAGAGGGGGACAGTAGAGACAGTAGAGGGGAGAAGTGCGCACACAGACCACGGACATGAGCCGACGTCACACTTCTAAAAGAAGTTATTGAAGGAAAGATAGAGGGGCGGATAGAAGTGACCAGAAGAAGAGGAAGAAGACGTAAGAAGATGCTGGATGACCTTGGGACAGAAGAGGATATTCTCATTTGAAATAGAAAGCTCTAGATCGCATTAAGTGGAGGAAATGTTTTGGAAGAGACTGTGGACCTATCGTCTGACAGATTACTGTTGAATGAATGAATACAAGAATAAGAATAAGAAATTTGGTATCGTTATATTTGTCTAAAACGTCTTTGAATTTGCGTCATCAGATATAAATAGTGAACTTAACATCGTCGTCATTACAAAGTTACTAGATTCTATTTTTGGCCTACTTTCCTTATTTGGAATAAATAAAAGGAGGCTTATCAACTTGCTGCCGGCGTGTCTCCTCATTAACTTTTAACCACCTGAACCAATCTTTATGAAACCTGGTACGTATATCTTGGTAGCTAGGCCCATGAGAGCAGCCTACTTCAGAAATCCTTCCAGTTAGTCTTCTTTTCTCTATGTGTATCCCCCTGTCATTGCTAGACAACGGCCCCGTAAACACATTCTCGCGGCAAGGGTGAATTGTTAGTGGCGCTGTCTCCTGTGTGGTCCTCGTATAACAAATGAAAGTACGCTATTAGTTCTCACAAGATCATCGGAATTATACGATTTTAACTGATATCTAAATATTGAACACACAATACTTTGTTTTCGTAATGATGCCCGCTCAAGGTATCACGTACACTCAGAGACGTTTCGGACAAGCTACTAGAATTATGTGTACTTAGAAGTCCATATCGGTGGAAGGAATGCAGTCGAATTGACACGTTCTGTTGAGAAGGCCACGATGTTCATTCCGACGTGGGCTTCGCCCCTTACGACCATCCCCACGACGCCGCTCCACGTCCCGTTCTCGTCCTGATTGCCGTACGCGCCGTCTTTAGCTTCAGAATACTCGGTCCTGTGGGATAGGAAGGAAACATGTACATGTATCGGGTGGCCCAAAAGTGGCTTTCTAATGATTAAATTCATGTGTGAAATTCAAGTACGTTGTGTAAGACGTGGCGAAGTGTGTGAACAGAAAGTTGACTTGTTACGTAGAAAATGATTTTCCGTTTTCAATTTTACATTAAAATGTAAAGCTATCCCCGTACCAGACCGTGAAGGCCCATAGGGCTGTGAGACGTTGAGGGTCCCACACTATCTAGACAATCGGCTCAAAGATGGCGGTAAGGTTGTCAGCCTTACGCTCCGGCCGCCCTTTATTCCCAAAGAAAATTATTTAATTAATTCCTGGTACTCATTTCTGTTAGAGGCTGAGTAAACCCCAGGGCCTAGTGCGGCTGGAAGTATTAGGTCAACTGAAAAATATCCAATGACCTCATCGGGTTCAATTTTACATATAAATGTTTTATTTATAGTGTATCCATTTCTCTCCTTCTTTATATTCCAGTTCTTAACTGCAGTGACTCCAGGAACTGAAACTCTGTCTCTTCCTTTTGTATGCTAACAATTTGAATTCGGTCCAGATATCGCAATGTGAAGGACTGAAATCTGGAGATTTTGGTGATCATACTGTGAAACTGACAAATTCAACAGTAGCGTTATCTGACAATTTAAAAAATCTGGTCATATTAATGTGAAAATGGCTGCTCTTAACGTTCACTTTGTTTTAATATTATGTGTAATGAAATATCAGAATTCAGTATAATTTTCACACATGCACTTAGGTGCACACTGCACAAATTATAAGAGTTTAATTAATACGTACTGTTCTTTGTATGTTACCTCCATGCATTGCCCAGTATGCACACAGTATTGTGTAGAGCAGCCGTGTCAAACATGCGGCCCCCATAGCCACAAAGTACGGCCCCTCAACTTTTAGAGCTAATTGATATTGAAATCAATGTTAAAATTTTAGTAGAAATATTTTTTGTAAAGACAATTTTCCAACAGACCAGAAGACAAGACGACTCACGCAGACATAAATTAGCAGGCTGCAGGAAATTTAATGTTTTGCTATTTCTAACATAATTTCTTGTGTAATCTCTCTTTTTACATATTGAAAAGTTGTTTGATACTTGTCAAAAATGGCATTCTCTTGCTTTTTAAAACTGTAAGATATGTGACTTTAGGTAATTATATTGAAATTATTCCTAAATAATAAATAGAATTAAATTTCCTTGTATCGAAATCTAATGCATTTTGAAGGGCGGCCCCGGACTGTTATTTATAGGGCTGAGGTGGCCCTCTGTACAAGTTGAGTTTGACATGCCTGACCCAGAGGGTTCCTTCTTAGGACGATATTTCCTTAAATAAATTTCACCATAACCAAAACTCCATTTGCAATATTTTCTCCCTTATAAAGTATCGTTATATAACATCAGTATAAAGGAAACTACTTTTTCTTCCGAAGCCTCTGAATCAGTTTCTAATTATGTGTTATTTTATAGTTGACAAAAATTCATATACGTGTATTACTTACTCATGGAGCTGAGCCCTTCTGGAGGAGAAGCCAAATCTGCAGCTACTCAAGAACTTCCCAGGATTTTATGGAACCCGAAGGTTCATTACCGTGTTCAAAAGAACCCTCCACTGGTCTCTATCCTGAGCCAGATCAATTCAATCCATACTATCATATCCTATATCGCTAAGATTCATTTTAATATTGTCCATCCACCTACGACTTGGTCTTCCCACTTGTCTCTTTCCATTAGTTTTCCCACCGATAGCCTATATGCATTTCTCTTATCCCCAATTCGTCCTACATGCCCTGCCCACCTCATCCTCCTTGACTTGATCATTCTAATTACACTTGGAGAAGAGTACAAGTTATGAAGCTCCTCATTATGCTGTTTTCTCCACCCTCCTGTCACTTCATCTCTCTTCAGTCCAAATATTCTCAACACCCTGTTCTCAAANTGCAAATTTAATTTTGTATATTCTAATTTTTATGTTTTTGGAGAGCAGACGAGAAGACAAAAGGTTCTGGACTGAACTCTGATAATACGAATCTCAATTAAAGCTGCTCTGATGTGCGTATTCACATGTCCTGTCATAGAAGTAATGACCAAATTTATTGAAACTTTTAACAATACACTTCACTGCTTCATGCCGCAATATAGTTACTACTGGCTTTGAATATTTCGTATTTTAATAAATGGCAAAGGAATTATTAATCTTTAATATAGTTTTACTTAATTCTAGTAATTCATTGAATATTATATTAAAATTTGACGTGAATATTTAATGACTTTCGTAAGGAATGTGAACAACAGTGGATTACTTTAATTCATTACTTTATATGCAGAATTCAGCACGTTGCTTAGCAACGCTCAGTGAATGTACATTCATGAGTTTGTGCTTTTAACAAGAAAGTTTGCGATATTCCGCGTCTGTTCTGTCGGTATTATGAAGAAAGTAAAATATCCGACAGAACTGGTTTTTACGATCATAACACTGCGTATGGAGATACAACTCACGTGAAATTTAACTGGGTTTCCATCTCGTCCCATAGATCGCGCACAAATCCAGACATTTTCGGTTTCTGCCATCTCTCTTCAATTCTTGTAATTTTTAGATGAGGATTCTGCGAAATGGATTGAATAATATGTTGTATAGTGATAATGAAACTTGGCCGCGCCATAGCTCAAGCGGTTAATCCCACCGCGGCGGCCCGGGTTCAGTCCCGAGTCTGGTCAAGTGGAATTTGTTGTGGACAAAGTGGCGCTGGGGCAGGTTTTCTCCGAGTACTTCAGTTTCCCCTGCCGATCTTCATTCCACCAGTTGCTCCACAATCACCCTCGCCTATCATCTGGGGCTGGTACAATAGGCCAGAAGTGGCCGCAGTACAAGTGACTTAGTCTTACCCCACTAGCAATAAAAAAAATATAACTTCAATGTAGTAAACTACAATTAAAGAAAAGCTATTATAAAGTATCCACGAGGGCATGAGCCTCGAGTGATATTACAAAATCCATAAATTTAAAGTTATTTTAAAACAATCGCAGTGCATTTTAATTGTTAAATTTCAATATTTTTCTATTTGTTAAAAAATTATTTTATTTATAAGATAGTAAATTCCGCTAGGTATTCACTCATGTAGCTCCTATACAGTTTGTTAATAACGAGTTACAGTCCCCAAGAGAATAGAGTAAAAATAAAAAAAAGTAAAGCTCTCCCTGTAACAGGCCGTGAAGGCCCATAGGGTTGTGAGGCGTTGAGGATCCCACATTCTCTAGACAATCGGCTCAAAGATGGTGGTAAGGTTGTCAGCCTTACGTGCCGGCCGCACTTTACTCCCCAGGAAAATTATTTAATTCATTCCTGGCACTCGTTTCTGTTAGAGGCTGAGGCGACCCCTGGGCCATAGTGCGACTGGAAGTATTAGGTCAGTTGAAAAAAAAAATCCAATGACCTCCAGTCAACCTATGTCCAGGAATCAACACCTGTTGAGATATGGCCGATGTTCTGTGATACCTACAAGAAATACTCTCTGTGGTTCCCATGCATATCAACACAGCTTTCAGATCTTCGTCACACAGAGGTGCGAACTCTGTCGGAATTTCCTGGTTTCACTCGAATCCCCTGATAGGTTATTCTCTGCTTCTTGCTGCAGTACCTCTAAGTCAAAGAATACACCAAAATATTTAGGTGTCCCCGCAGCCAAAAGTCCGGAGGATTGCGGTCAGGAGATCATGAAGGCCAGTTGACTTGGCCTCGGCGTCCTATCCGGCGCTCACCGGAAGTGTTCAAGTGACGTCTGACAATGCTGACGAATGACGTGGTTCCCCATCGTGCATGAAGCACATGCGCTCTCGTTGATGAAGAGGTTCATGTTCCAAGAGTACTGGTAAACCAATCACTGAAATGAGGGTACACTGTGCCTGTTAGTCTGTTAGGTAAGACAACTGATCTTAAGAATTTGTAGGATTTGAGGTTCTCACAGCTGTAGTTATAAAGAGTACTATAGTCCGGAAAATAACTGCGTGTAGTCCGGTGAAAGCCAACCGACGTTTCGGAGGAATATATCGCCTCCGTCTTCAGGGTCGTATAAGCCAAATAAGATACTGGAGTGAACACAGGTGGATTACCACCTGCTTCCACATGGTAGTTTATCCGGCTTATTCGATGCTGAAGATGATGGCGTTATATTCCTCCGAAACGTCGGTTGATTTGCACCGGACTACATTGCGTTATGTCCCACAATGTAAGACTGTCACGTATAAGGGGTTGGTGTGACTAATAATGATGGGTTCTGGATTTGGTGATTCGGTTTATTGGCGCATCTTTGCAATTACAGTTGATTAGAACAGCTCACACATTGAAACGCCGCATGAAGAGCCCTTACGAATCTCTCACTAGTCTCGGACTGATCTCTACTACCTTTGGTCTCGCTCTTGAAGTCGCAAATCCACTGCCTCTTATAAACTCCCAAGCGGCCCACATAGAAGACACCACGTTTAACAGTGGATTGTCTTCTGTTGTCCTATTGATTGTCACGGGAATCTTGTGTTTAGTAACTTGTTACCTGGTAAAGATTCATTCGCCGCTATTAATTATAACGGGAACGTGATTTCCGAACCGTTGCTCAACAACGGACGTTTCGCTCTGGATACAATATTCCGGCTTTCAGCCGTCACGTCACAATATTCTTCGTTCTTAAGAGTTGATCAGATAAGATGTCCACCCAGACATGGTCTCGCCCATATTTCAGCAAGTATTGATTTCTGGACGTACGTTGACTCGGCATGTTTGCCCATTTGCGTGAGTACTGTTATCTCCTTAAAGTCTACAGCCATTTTAACATCCTATATAAATACACTATTGGTTTATTCTGGTGGTAGATACATTTTGTTTCGGTATAAATCCGCATTCACTTCTTACAGCTAGCTAACTTCATCAGTTGCTCAGCTCGTCAAGAATATTCCCACTATTTATGGAACCGACAACTACGAATCTCATCTATCCAATTTATTGTCATTTGATTGCATTAATAGTGTTCGAAAAAGTATTATTATTCCATGATGACGGAGACAGAGACCGTCTCCGAAACGTTTGATTTTCACTCCGAACTCACCCAACGTAGAGTCCAAGAATATTTTGTCGTAACAGATGTTACCTGTTCACGGAACCCAGCTTTAATTTGTATACCCTGAAGATGTCTCCGCTGCCGGTTAGTGAACCAGAGAATGCCACTACTGGAAGTCCAGTTTGCTACTCGCGATTCCTGCAGTGAGCTAGTAGGGTGGATATGGTACACTTCGGTGAGCGCTATGTCTGTGCCACCCTCATCCCCTTCAGAGACGTGCGCCACGAGAAAATCACAGTCCAAGGGGATGTGAGTATCGGCCAAGAAGTTCGTATGTGACGCCGTTATGTTCGTGAACGCAAGCCATGTGCCTTCAGGAAATCGTGAAACCTGTAATATTACAATAATCCTACCTGTAAACATGTCACTAAATACGATATAGGATGCTAAATAGGTCCCTGTTTACTTAAAGCAACAATTCACCGGTATCGACGTGTACTGCAGCATCTGGTCGCTAGGAGAGAGGACGTACAGCGATCGACACTGTGCGTTAGTACCTTCTAAACTGCCCACGGACACACTGGTTAACAAAATGTTTCTTTTCGCGAAGAAATGCTTCCACTTTAGAGCTTCAAAGCTTTCCTTAAAACCTGTTAATGAAGAATTAGAGTTATTAAAATCAAAAGGAAAAATGGCTGTCAAGATTTGTTGTTATAATTGTTACAGAGTGGTGAAAGAAAGTACTAGGGACACCATAGCGTAATTTATCCAACCACATTAATGTGCCTGACATGTAGTATATAGGTTGTGTCATAGGCCTAATTATGTATTTACTTATTCATAGTTTATTTAATGGCGCTGTCGGTAAAAAGTAAAGCTATCCCGTACGTAAATTGTCTTATAACTTGATTATTACTTTATTTCTTAAACAGCATAATCTTAAGTATTGCTGTACCTGAAACATACGTCACACTTTCTTTAGAATTAGTTTAGTTATGAAATATTTAAATTGATATGATGTTGGCACATGGCAGTGTAGTTGGTTGAGGCACTATGCTACAAGCCGGATGGTCTCGGGATCGAATCCCGATGAGGTGGATTTTTCAATTTACCTAATCCTTCCAGCTGCACCGTGGCCCTGGTGTCGACTCAGCCTATAACAGAAATGAGTACCAGGAATATTCTTGGTGGTAAAGGGCGGCCGGCGCGTAAGGCTAACAACCTCACCGCCATCTGTGAGCCAGTTGTCTAGAAAATGTTGGAACCTCAACATCTCACAAACCTATGGGCCTCCACGGCCTTTTACAGGGATACCTTTACCGTTTTTTATCCCCGTAACAGGTCTTGTAGACCTATAGGGTTAAGAGACGTCGAGGCTCCCTTATTTTCTAGACAGATGGTTCAGAGGTGACGGTGAAGTCAGCCTTACGCGCCCGCCGCCCTTTACCACCAAGAAGATTTCTGGTAGACACTTCTGTTAGAGGTTGAGTCGATACCAGGGATATAGCGCGGCTGGAAGGATTAGTTCAATTGAAAAATCCAATGACCTTACCGGAAATCGAACCCCTGACCATCCAGCTTGTAGCATAGTGCTTCTACCAACTACTCTAACGCGAAAGGCGTTGTTGGCATCTGGGATAAAGTATCTTCTGATGTTAATGATGATGAGTTAAACACGAACTGAAAAATGTGTAGAAGGAAGCTTTGCTCGGCTAATTTAGCTAGTATTGCAGAATTTTCCTGGAGAGACCGAGAAAAACAAGAACCTCATTCATGTTTGCTTGATCCTCCGGCCAATTTCAGAGCAGAGCTCCTTTCCAAAAAATTAGAAAAGTTATCGCTCGAGCCAACTTACTGATACAAAGTCACGCACTGTGGATAAGGGGCTGGAAGTGACCAAGAAGCCGTCCCTTTCCATGACCGTTTAATGTTTTTGCAAATGCAAAGAAAAAACCTGACGAGTAGGCCTTTGTGCGGTTCTGGGCCACTTACCTAGTTCCTGTTTCGCGTGGACCAGGTACACACACCTCGTCCTGTATCTGTGTAGCACTTCGTTAGTGATATTGAAAGTCGTGTTCAGCGGAAGTGAATTGGCAGGCACAATGATGCAACAAATTGCTAAAATTGTACACAACATTTCATCGCAGGAGTTTCTGTAGGTTATGACAAAATAGTGTAATGTCCCTTAAATCGCCTAGAGGGACGAGCGTTACACTTTGGAGCCAGTTTCTGCCTTTATTGGAAGTGTTTAAAACGTTATTTGTAATCTAACATATTTTTTAGAAGTGAAAACTTATCATTCTCTCAATTCTTATGATAAATGAATAATTATATTTTCATCTCCCTTTAATTTTTTAATTATACTTCTTTTATATTCTTTGCATCGTTACAAACCACGCTTTATGTAGTATAACAGTTGTAATTTGATGTCTTGAGCAGTGTATTTTATTATGTGTTATTATATTTCCTCCTGCTTAACGTCTGTCTCAAACAAAACACTGATATGCCTATGCTTTAAGCCTAGGTTTTATTACAGGCATAAGCAACTGTTACAAATGACTGTGTGTCCACGCGTGATAATATCAAATTTAAAGAACGTTGGATACTCACGTTATATTGCTTACTTACCGTTGGCATTTCACAGTTTAATTTCCTAAGTGATTAGAGGAATGTTACTATTTCAAGTTAACTGTTATCATTTTCCCTTTTTTGTGTTTGCTGAATGCGACTGCGTTTCTTATTCGTTTGTCATTAAGTGTTTCTTTTTGCTTTGTGACTACAGTGTGCAAGCAGACATGGAAAGCCTAGGGTTTCCATAAATTAATAATGCCTCTGAAGCAAACGTGTAATGAGGCCACGCCATAGCTCAAGCGGTTAGTCGCTGGCTTCCCACCGCGGGGCCCGTGTTCGATCCCGGGTCTGGTTAATTGGGACTTGTGGTGGACAAAGTGGCGCTGGGGCAGGTTTTCTCCGAGTACTTCGGTTTCCCCTGCCAATCTTCATTCCACCAATTGCTCCACAATCCCCCTCACCTATCATCTGGGGCTGGTACAATAGGCCAGAAGTGGCCGCAGTACAAGGGACTTAGTCCCACCCCACTAGCAATACAAAAAATGTGTAATGAAGTATGAAAACCTGATATTTTCTGAATGTTCTTTATATGAAGTGAGGTCGTGTATGTTCTTACAGACATGAATTTCATTCGTAAAATTACGGAACGAACTTTAATTAACATTACTATCAAGAATTGTCGGTTGGATTTAATTTTATTTCGAATCGGCTCAATAAAATGCCTTGATACTTCAAACGATTTCCAGTAAAATTTTACAAATTTTGTAATCAACGGCCAAACCTATTTTAATCTTATATAACATAAAATATAGAACCCATGACGATCTCGCATTTAATTAAAAAAATTTTCAGATATTGAGAATGTTTAAAGATATGCAAGGAAGAATACGTTCTACCTCTTTGCAATGTGATTACCTTTCTAACGTCTTTAATTTGCAACCATATTTTCATATGCGCAACAGTAAATATCAAGGTCAATGACGTATATAATATCACAAAATATATATTTAGAGAATATGTCTACTTGTTCACAGTCATTGTATAACCTAACAGAAATCGACATGGTACTGAATAATGGCATTGTCGGGGTGCAGGCATAATTTAAATTTACTTTAGGTAACGCGAGCAATGTTGCTGCTTTTCACTGTGCAGATGGACCTACCCACGGGGTTATGTATTGTTCTAGCCTTGAAATATTCTATGACGCTGTATCAACTGTAAAGTTTGTGTCGCTTCACAAGAGAGACGATAGGAATTATGCC